GAGGACGCTGGTGATGATGTTGATGGTGATGGTGGTGATGGTGATGAAGGTGGTGATGGTGATGTGGTGATGTTACTAATGGTGATGAAGGTGGTGATGGTGATGGTGATGGTGGTGGTGATGGTGATGGTGATGGTGATGGTGATGGAGGTGGTGATGGTGATGGTGATGAAGGTGGTGATGGTGATGAAGGGGTGATGGTGATGGTGATGAAGGTGGTGATGGTGATGAAGGTGGTGATAGTGATAAGGTGCCTGGCATATAGTAGGCATTCAATAAATTTTGATGAGGGAATTTTTTATTTCAAGCCACAGCTGATATGATAAGGAAGGTGAGGAGACCCTGGCTTTGGGTCCCTTGAGCTTGCTGATGGAATAATTAAGTATCTTTGGTGTCAGGCTAATGCTGATATAACAAGCTAAAAGACAATAGGTTAAACTTTTCTACTTTGGGGGCATCTTGGACACTGGGAAATAAAGATAACCCCAAAACCCAAGGAGAAAACTAAATTAGAGTCACAACTATAAATAAAGTCTCCCCTATCCTCGGAGAGGAGAGGAGAAGAGAGGAGAGGAGAGGAGAGGAGAGGAGAGGAGAGGAGAGGAGAGGAGAGGAGAGAAGAGGAGAGGAGAGGAGAGGAGAGGAGAGGAGAGGAGAGGAGAGGAGAGGAGAGGAGGGGGAAAGAGAGAAAGGGAGCGAGGGAGGTGGGGAGAGGGCGAGAGAGAGAAATTACACATATTCTTGGTCAGGTACAAAGCTTTTTTTGTCTCCATGAGTTTCTCAATACAACCTGTATCCCTTCAGTCATTTAACAAACATGCATTGAGTCCCCACTACACACTAAAATTTAAAGTATCTAATTTCATCACTGCAGGAGATCCCAGCTGAGAGCTGGGGAGACCAAGATGAAAAAAATATAGTAAGAAGCAAGAGTCAACAACTAGTTTGTTCCCTAGTTTGGGATAAAATATTGGATTAAGGTGAAAGGCAGGAAATAATGGGACCATTTAGAACTTCAAGGGACCAACATAATTTTTGAGGGAAGAAGAGAATTTAAGACAAGAAGGATCAGTAGAGAATGGCTCGCTGCTTCCCTCTGGTGGAGAAGAGTAGCAAACACATCGTACAGCTTTCCTGCACTTTCTTCAACAAATATAACCTGGACGAGGTGCTAGGAACAGAGGGATGAATAGTAGCATACTGCACCTGTCCTTGGGGAGGTCACAAGCAGATGAAGGAGTAAGACAAAAAAGTTACAAGCCGTCTAAGGCAGGACCAGTTGGTAATAGAAGCATTCATTCATCCAACAAAGTGCAGAGGCCTTGAGGCAGGGGCTTGAGAACAAGCAGGATTCATGGGGAGGACACAGATGGGAGGAAATTCTAGGCCAGTGATGGCGAACCTTTTGAGCTCAGCGTGTCAGCATTTTGAAAAACCCTAACTTAACTCTGGTGCCGTGTCACATATAGAAATTTTTTGATATTTGCAACCATAGTAAAACAAAGATTTATATTTTTGATATTTATTTTATGTATTTAAATGCCATTTAACAAAGAAAAATCAACCAAAAAAATGAGTTCGTGTGTCACCTCTGACACGCGTGTCATAGGTTCGCCATCACTGTTCTAGGCAGTGGGTTGAGTACCAAGAAGTGAAATCCATGCCTGATCTAGGAAATTCCAAGTAAATAGTAGATTTGTAAGACACTGAGGGTTGGAGGGGGGAATGTAAACAGCAGGGTACCAATTAGAAGCCAAGTCCCAAGGTGCTTTGCAATCCGTGGGAAAGACTATGTATGTGAAGACACTGGTGATTTTCACATAAATAGGGAGTGTGCAGGAGGCAGCCAATCGATGTTTCTCTCTCATCGATGTCTCTCTCTCTCTCTCTCTGTCTCTGTCTCTCTCTCTCTCTCCCTTCCTCTCTCTAGAATCAATTAAAATGTTTTTTTAAGAGAAATATGGCCGAAACCGGTTTGGCTCAGTGGATAGAGCGTCGGCCTGCGGACTGAAGGGTCCCGGGTTCGGTTCTGGTCAAGGGCATGTACCTGGGTTGCGGGCACATCCCCAGTGGGGGATGTGCAGAAGGCAGCTGATCGGTGTTTCTCTCCCATCGATGTTTTTAACTCTCTATCTCTCTCCCTTCCTCTCTGTAAAAAGTCAATAAAATATATTTTTTTTAAAAATTTAAAAAAAATAAAAGCATTAAAAAAGAGAGAGAGAAATATGTATTGAGTCCCTACAATGTGCCAGATACTGAGCTGGGGATGTCTGGCTGCAAATAAAACAGGTAGATCCCTGCCCTCCTGCAGCCTACACCCTACCGGGGGGGAGAGGCATCCGTTAAAAGAAATCACTCCGCCCAAAGGCTAAAATGAACATGTAGAGAGTGATACGGACACATACAGAGGCAGAGCGTGACGTCAGGACACTGAGAGCTGTGTGCTGAGCTGCGCTTCCCTGCCAGCTGCCCTTGTTGCCCAGTGCAATACCTGGCCCTGCTCTCAAGGACCCAGTGGCTTGAAGGCTGGCATCGGAGGCAGGACACGGTCCGTGGAGGGAAGCTCAGCTGCCTGGGAAGAGCTGATAGAGGCAGGAGGATCAAGGAGATTGGCGTTTCTCAACCCATAGTGAGGGGTGAAATGAAAGTGGCAGGTCCTTTCCAGCATTTGGTAAATGATATAGAATAGAATAGAAAAGAATGTAAAATATTGTGCATAGTAAGAATTGGTACTGTTTCATGAAACTAATTTCAGTTGTGTATGTATATATTCATGTGTTTGTGTATAATGTGTGTGTACAAGGTTGCAATATAAATCATTTGTTACTGTGTCTTTTTTTATATTTTTATTGACTTCAGAGAGAGGAAGGGAGGGAGGGAGAAACATCAATGATGACAGAGAATCACTGACTGGCTGCCTCCTGCACATCCCCTACTGGGGATCGAGCCCACAACCCAGGCATGTGCCCTGACCAGGAATCAAAACATCAACTCCTGGTTCGTAGGTCAACACTCAACCACTGAGCCACATCGGCCGGGCAATGTTTTGATTACTATGTGTCTTGATCAAAAAAGTTTGAAAAACACCAGATCAGAGGCCCTCTCACGGTCTCACCCAGCCCAGGATGTCACAGGGGTGGCTGCTCAGCCCACAGAGGGCTGACAGAAAGGCCTGTCTCAGGCAGAACTGCAGTCCAGCTCCACTATGAGGACTCTGTCACACTCAGTAGCCCAATTCTGATGAGGAGCTATGAACTCTCAAAAGCAATGAAGAACCTAACCTCACATGCTCACTCTCATGCACTGTGGGGGGCAGGGGGAGGGGGAGGAAGAGGTATAAATTGGTACAAACTTTTTGGAAGGCAAACATGGCAATGTCCACCAAAAGTCTTAAAATATGTAAATTTTTTGCTGCAGGAACCACACTCCTATGCAGTCTCACTAAAGGAGTAGCCCAAAGGTAACACTCAGAGTTAAATGTCTAATGACAGCAGTGGTTGGATAAATGGTAACAGTATTCAGGCCTTAAAATGTATTGACAAAGATGTGAATGACACAGCCTTGTAATTAGGCACCATTTCTTAATGGCGCACTAACTACTAGCTGCTTCTCGCTGTAGGTAGAGAGAAGTCACCCTGAAGCAGGTTTTGTCTGTATTGCATGATTGACAGGCCACTCTTAGCCATGCAAATGTTAGGTGAGTCAACAGCATTGTGCTAGAGTAAGGAATAACATGACCTTTATCGCTGTTTAACCAGGGGTGATTCTACCGCAACACCACCCTCCCCGAGAACATTTGCAAATACCCAGAGACATTTCTGTTTGTCATGAATGGGAGAGGGATGTTACTGGTATCTAGTGGGTAGAGACCAGGGTGCTAACAAGCATCCTTCAAGGACAGGTCATTCTCCAATTCATGGTCTCTGTTGATGCTGATCACAGCCCTGATCAGGATCTGCTAGCAAAAAAGAAATAAAAGAGCATGCAGGGCTGGAGGGGAGAGAATCTGGGCCAATGACCTGTTTCAGATAAGCTCTGTTTTGTTCACTGATGTATTCTCAGCCCAACTGGCACAAAGCAGTCACTCAATACATACTTGTTGAAGATTGCCTGTTGAATCCAGCAAGGGCATCTGAGGTTATAACTTTCTACCTGACTGTGCCCAACTCATGTACAACAGTGACACCTTGTGGTGGGAACTGAAACAACCACACAGTTGGACCAATAACACTTTTTGGCGGGTGTTTGCAGAGCTGATCCCATAACACAGAAAAGACCGCAGAGTTTGTGGAAAAATCACAAAGCTAGAGAGAAGCAGGAGGCCTTAAGAGGATGGTATCTGCTGTCCTGCTAAAAAATGGAGGCAGATGGGAGTTTGAATAATTTATAGGAAAGATCAAAGAAATATGACGATATATGTGGATCCCAAACTGATATGTCACAGAGGTTATTTTGTTAGGTTTTAAAGAAAACACAACAGGTTTCAAAATAATATGGATAAATAATCCTAATTCTATTGCTTAAAGGTAGTATACACATACCTATTGGTCTGGAAGAAGTATACCAAAAATTATACCAAGATGACAACAGTAGGTCCCTAGAGGGTGATGCTTAGGGTAGTTATTATTATTTTTATGTTTTCTGAGTTATTTTATAAAAAATGTATAATGTTTATGCAAAAAAATAAGAAGGTAGATGTTGACCCAAAATACGACGACACTTCAGAATGTCTAAGGTAAAACGATTCTGGTCTCCTACGCACATCTTGTATTTCCAGTACCTGGACCCTAATTTTCCAGAACCAAATGTCCCACAACCTCCGAAGGTCTCCTTTAGGGCCGAGTTCCCAGAAGCTGCGCTGACCACTTTCGAGTCCCAGGCCCCTCTCTCCTCTGCTCGCCTGCGGCATTTACCACCCAGAGTTGATTCTGTCTTGTCCAGGCCTGCGACCGCGGGCACAGGAACCTAGAGGCCCTGTGGCAGACGTCCAGCCTGCTCACCTGACATGTGCACGTTCCGGAGGCAGGAGAGGGAGGCATTGAGGCGAGCACATTCCTCCTGGTTGGCTCCGTATTTCTCCACGGTTTCACACACCTGCTCATCCGTCATCTCCAAGAGGTCCTCCAGGCTCAGCTGGCCCGGGGTGATTTCCTAGGGAGGGAAGAGTATGCAGACGTCAAGTGCCTAGAGTGGAGGAATGACGTCTGAGCCTCCACACTGCCCTCTAGTGGTACCTAGCTGAACACCCCGCACTGTGTGAATGGCTACTTGGTGTAGTTGGGTCTCTGATTTGGGCATCAGACAGGCTTGGGTTTTCTCTCAGCTATGCCACTCATTAGCTAGATGACCTCGAGCAAATCATTTAACCCATCTAAACCTCACTTTACTCACCCCAAATGGTAATCTTAAGTGCACATACTGTGCAGGGAAGCACGTGTGCTTAGCACATGGCGCTCCACAAATGGTATAGTTTATTACTTGTCTGTGTCCCCATGCAGCTTCTAAATTCCTTATGATCGAGACTCTAATTTATTTATCTTTGGAGGCCCTCCGTGCCTCCTGCTCAGCTCCTACGGCAGTGACTTGTCCCAAATTCAGGGTGAACCCAGAGCAGACAGCCCGAGTCTCCTGATGGCTGTCCTCCACTCTCTGATAGTCTTAGGCAGGTGACCCTTGACCGCCACCAGTAACCATCCCTCTTTCCAGAAAGGCTGTGTCCCTAGACCAGCCGTAGGAAAACTACGGCCCGCGGGCCGGAATCCGGCCCGTTTGAAATGAATAAAACTAAAAAAAGAAAAGACCGTACCCTTTTATGTAATGATGTTTACTTTGAATTTATATTAGTTCACACAAACACTCCATCCATGCTTTTGTTCCGGCCCTCCGGTCCAGTTTAAGAACCCATGGTGGCCCTCGAGTCAAAAAGTTTGCCCACCCCTGCCCTAGACACTATCATATGGATACAGCTTGAAATTTGTCAAGCTTCCATATTTACACATCTACAAAGAAGAGTCTTCATTTTATAGCACTTAATGGTATCCAATGTTTTTACATTTATTATTGTTGTTATTTTTATTGATTAAGGCATTACAGGTGTCCTCATCCCCCCATTTTCCCCTCCCCCGCCCCGTTCATGCCCTCATCCCCCTGGTGTCTGTGTCCATTGGTTATTTGTTGTTGTTATTTAAATAAGAGTTTCAGATAATTGAGGATGGAGATTCTAGGTCAATACACAGCATGCGTGTGCCCTCTTGTGGCCATATCTGTGTGTTACAACAAAATCAGACATTTTCCCCCTAAACACACACACACACACACACACACACACACACACACACACACTAAACTAGCAACCAAGAAGAGGAAAAGTGTATAGCACTAAAATTCTGTCCAAAAAAGAAAAAAAGATGCATGCAAAAGCCATGAAACCCAACTGGTGCCTATCAAACTCGCCAGGGCAGGGGACAGAGAGAGAGAGCAATAATTGAGTGGCTTAGAGGCTTTCTCAAACAGGAACATCTTGCAGGTAAGCCCCACTTTAAGAAAGGTGATCGACCAGAATCTTAAAGTACAAAATGACTCATATTTAGAAGGGATATTTCCCAACATAAAAGAATTATCCTCTTTGCTGCAGGATACACTTTTGCATTTTAATCTTGTAACTTACCTCCCAAAATATTCCATTTACACTAAGGTTTAAGGACACACACACACACACACACACACACACACACACATCACAGGAGTAATGATACTAAAAATGGAGAAAGCCTTGACAAACCTGGGCCAAAAGAGCAGATGGACTTCTGTTGGATAAAATAATTAATAATAATAACAATAATAATAGTAATAGAAAGAAATGCAGCACTATTTTAAGTGCTTTTCATGGATTTTCTTTTAAAAAGGCAGACCACATAAAATAGGTACTTTCATCATCATTAGTCTATAACTAGGACACTAAAATTCAGAGAAGTTAGAACACCGGCCCAAAGTCACACAGTAAGTTTGAGCCCAGACAGTCTGTCCTAGTAGCTTTCTCTGTTTAACTTCTAGCTCCTCCAGAGAAAGGGGCCTTTTGGGGTACACACATGTGAGCTACAGACAGAGAGCTGGGACCCAGCTGTCCTCACTCCCTGGCTGGTGGCCTTGGGCTCATGATTCTCACTGATTAAGGAAGAACCAGAGCTTGGGTACCTGCAGACAAGGGGAATCAAAATGAGCAAAGCTGTGAAACTTGGGAGCCTGCAGGACCCAAATGGGCAGCAGAATTCAGTTCATTGCCACCCGACAGGAATTCATTTCAGTGTGGTAAGCAACTCCAATTTTTCAAGAGAAGGCAGAGATCTGGGGTTTTATGCAAACGCTTTCAACTTTTAAATACTGGCTCAAAAAAAATTTGAACACATCAGCCAAGCAAAAAAATGTCTGTGCATCAGATACAGCTTCAGGCTATCATTTTCAACCCTTGGTCTAGAAGATTTGTCTCTACCTAATTTTTCCTGTTTGATAAATAAATGGTCCCAAACGCTTCTGAAAAGTGCACTGGGCCATGCAAATAAAATGCACTGTTTGTACTTATGGGGCTGTTCCCATTAAGGATATTCACACAAAACTGCCAGCCTGGGAATGAATTAAAGAAACCGCGACTCATACCCCGTCTTGTGTGCATGTGTGAGACGGGGGTGGAGGAATGTGGAGGGGGGGCGTTGTGTTTAGCCCAGGATTATTGGATCTGGTGGGTTCAGGCAAGATCACATCTAGGCAAGGTCTGAAAAAGACAAAAGGTGGAAGAGGATCTTCCAGGCCGCTTCAAGGAGGAAGCAGGGAGCCCCTTACGAAATGGTACATGCCCTGCAGGTAGGGAGGCGCCCCTTTCCTCCCCAGGTCAGGGAGGCCCTGGCAACCGGAGAATGGGGGAAAGACAGTGCTTTCCATCTCTGCCAACCCCACCCACTCACTAGTGAAATGAGTCCCTTCATCTCTGAGCCTCAGTTTACTGCTCTGCACAATGGGGTGATAGTTGTAACTATGTCAAAAGGTTGTTGCAAGGATTTGAACAATCTCGACACTTGAGATGCTGCATGGAAAGCCCTCCGCACAATGCCAGGCACCAAAGATTCGAGGTGAGCTGGTTTCATCCAGAAAGGCTCGGCCCAGATGCTGGAAACAGCGATGACTCCGGATCCAAGAAGGCAAGGAAACCCCACCATCCTAGGGACCTTAAGCACACGCTCCACTCCTTGAGGGCGGACACAGACAGCATGTGCTGGCTCTGTTTTGCCATTGGAGAACCTGCTGCTTCCAAAGTTTGCAACAACAATAACAATACTGTGCTGGTAGGTGCCTAAGTAGGAGCTGAACATTTTATCGGGATCATCGTATTTTACACGCCAGCTACTTCAGAAGAGGAGACAGTCATCACCCCATTTAACAGATGAGAAAACTAACACCCTGAGACTGTGGTGTCCAAGACGATGGTCCCTGGCCACATGGATTAACATTAAATATGACTAGAAGCTCAGTTCCTCAGCCACACGCACTAACCACAATTCAAGTCCTCGAGAGCTACACGTGGCTGGTGGCCACTGCATGGGACTTAGCATAGACATTAAATACGTCCATTCCAGCAGAAAGCTCTGAGGTAAGGTGACTGAGTTAATGAGTGGCAGAGCTGAAACGGCCCATTCAGAGAGGGTCTCTGATGCCTTCATCCAATCCATATTTACTGAGGGCCTACTATGTGTCAGGCACAGCCAAAACCCCGTTACCCAAGGGACTGGCTGCTGGCCAGTAAGGAGCAGAGGGCAGGGGCCACCTCCGGTCACCTCCAGGACTTCCTTGCGCACGTCGACAATTCGGAACCAGTGCCGGAGCTGGGGGAAGCCGTCCAGCTCAGCATTGCGTTCCTGCAGGGCCACCTTCTTTTTGCAGGACAGCTGCCGGCTGAAGTACTTCACCAGCTTGCTCTGCAAAGACACAGGAGGACACGTCTCAGAGGCACTGCCGCAAGGAAGACAGAAGAATCTCCCACGGTCCCCTCCCCGCCTGAGCCCCATCCAACTCCATACGCTAAAGGAGGGGGACACGCACTGGGGCCACTTCATGGGGGCCTTTGGGCTGCATGCATGTACATCTCCATTGCTCGTGTCCTTGGACCCAACAAGTCCACTTCCAGGACTCACCCTACAGACACCGTGTCCTGTGCATAAGGACTGTGTGGAGCAGCGATTTTCCATCCTTTTCCCCTTAGGGCAGTGGTCGGCAAACTCATTAGTCAACAGAGCCAAATATCAACAGTACGACAATTGAAATTTCTTTTGAGAGCCAAATTTTTTAAACTTAAACTATATTGGTAGGTACACTGTTATTAACTTAACTAGAGGCCTGTTGCACGAAAAGATTCGTGCAATAGGCCTTCCCTTCCCCTGGCTGCCGGCACCAGTTTTCCTCCGGCACCCGGGACCCAGGCCTTCACTCCGGCTGGAGGAGCCTCCAAGCCTCTCGCAGCTCCGGCGGCCAGAGCTGCCTTCAGTCTTCAGTCCGCCGCTTCACGCCTATGTATGCAAATTAACCGCCATCTTTGTTGGTGGTTAATTTGCATATCTCGCTGATTAGCCAATGGGAGGCGTAGCGAAGGTACAGTCAATTTCAATCTTTGTCTATTATTAGATAGGATTAGGGTACTCCTAAGGCTTTGGAAGAGCCACATTCAAGGGGCCAAAGAGCCGCATGTGGCTCGCAAGCCGCAGTTTGCCGACCACAGCCTTAGGGCACATAAACTAATTACTGAAATTCTTCAGCACACCAAAAATATATATTTTTGCCAATCTGACAACAAGAAAAAGTATAATTTTGATTTGTTCACACCGAATGGCTATTGTGTTGGCTGTTGTCACTTTTTTATTCAACAATCTAAGGGAAAAGAGGTCAGTGCCCCTGACCAGAGTCAGGTGTTGCATGTTTTAAAAACTGTTGTGGCGCACGGGGTGAAACAGCTGGTGAACGGTAAGGGAACATTTCTTACCGTTCAGTTTGCAATGGCAAGAGATTGCAAACACTCTGAGGGTCCATCAGTAGGAGACTCATACATGGGGGTCCACACACACCCCGAAACCCTATGCAGGTAGAACATGAGATGAGGAAGCGTGCTGTGCACCAATACAGAACCGTCTCCAAGACATGTTGATAAATAAGCATAAATACTCTCCCATTCACGTGGGAAATGTTAACACGTATATATCTCCACAATGCAGACACTTTCTGGAAGGATTCCCAACACCCTGGGGAAGGGAAGAGGGAGGGCCAAGAACAGAGGCGGGAGAAAGACTTTACTTAAATCCTTTTGTACCATTTGAATCTTAAGTGACATGCAAACATGCACAAATGAACAAATGCTTTGAAAACCAGGTGGACCTGAACGCATGCTTCTGGAGAAATGCAGTACCATGAGAAAGAAAAGTGTTTTCTTGCTAGTTATGTAAAAACTAGCAATGTTAAGCCCGGCCAGTGTGACTCAGTGGTTGAGCATCAACCTATGAACCAGGAAGTCACGGTTCAATTCCCGATCAGGGCACATGCCCAGATTTTGGATTCGATCCCCAGTAGGGGGTGTGAAGGAAGCAGCCGATAGATGTTTCTCTCTCATTGATGTTTCTATCTCTCTCTCCCTCTCCCTTCCTCTATCTCTAAAATCAATAAAAACACATTTTAAAAAAACTAGCAACGTTAACAACAGAAAGGCAATACTTGTCTTCAGTGAGCAGAAAAGAAAGTGTGGAGGACACCCACAAAGCCCCAAAAGTGCAGAAAGGATAACTATTTCAATTTACTTTAATTATTTAATAAATACATGTATTTATTTCCTTGTAAAAAAGTTGGAACATTTCAGATAAGACCAAAGCTCCCCCTGAGCATTCCCTGTAATGCCGGCCCCTCTCCCGAGAGGTGATGAAGGAGCCCACTGAGGTCAGTCCACCCTGCCAGCCTTTTCTGTGCACGCTCATACCTACATGTAGAAACCGCAGGCTGGCTTGGTCTGGGGTAGGGTGGCTTTCTCATATAAACTGGATCATGCACTATGCCTCTTCCTGCAGCTCACTCTTCCACTCAGCAGTGAGCCTCAAGGGCCTTGCCCGTTAGTTCCCAGATCTGCCTCTCTCTTTTGAATCTTCTGCATGAGGGAGCCCTTTGGTCCCAGGGTCAAACGCTCAGGATGCATGCAGTTCTGTGGTGTCTGCTGGGGCACCTTTGTCAGCTATGATAAAGCATTTTCACGAACAGCAGCCACGCTAGCAGGCACCGTTTACTAGATGCGTGCAGTGTGCCTGGCGCTGTGGGATAAATGCTCTGAATGTGTTTGTTCATTTTTCAATCCACACAATGATGTCAGCTGAGGCTGGGAGTCTGAGCCTACTAGTCATAAGCCCAGATCCACAGAACTAACTAAGTCAGGGAGCCAGGGTAGGACCCCAAGGCTCCCTCTCTTGATCAGGCTGCTATACTTATGAGTTGTTCAGGGGTCCTCCCCGCTGAACTGGAAATCCAAATGTTGGGCATCGGCCCCTCAAGGGCAGAGGGTCTCGCTCATTTTGGGATGCTTTCCGTGTATTGTGGGAGAGGTAAGTATCTGAATTCCAGTTCTGAGGCTTCGGGGAGTCACATCAGCTCCCTGAGCCTCCATTTTCTCATCTGTAAAATGGGCCTGCGGAGGCATCACATGCGATAATGTCTGTGCAGAAGACAAGCTGAGTCCTCCCCACATACACACAAACACCATTCTAACCAGTTGTTGAAAGGGGTGCTTGGATTCTGGAGAGGAGTTTCCAAGGTCACGCTGAGACTGGACCTACCCGTCCCAGGAACAAGAATCAAGGGGCGTCCATACTGCGATGCATTAGCAATGGGGGAGAGAGGGAGGGGTTTAGGACACAGGTGGAGCGGGGAAGACAGGTGGGGAGGGCAGCCACAGGTCCAGGTCTTAAACCAAGGGAACCAAGAATCACCTTTCGGGAAATGAGCACAGCTAGTCTGAGCTGTGAAAAACCCAGAAAACTGCCCAGAGCGTGAAACTGGACTGGGCAGAGAGTGAGAAGCACTTCCCAAATGGGGATCCCTGGACTCAGCAGCCTTCCCCACCAGGTGCCCAAGACGGGCGGCTATCGGCTGATAGGGGTTCTCTCTGAGCCAATGCTACAATATGCACTTTTTATGAATTATCTAATTAATCTGCATAGCAACTCAGTGATATAGGATCATTATTGCCCCATTTTACAAGTGGAAAAATCGAGACCCAGAAAGGTTAAATAACTTGCCCAAGGTCATTGATCAACTAAATGAATGAATCAGTATTTAAACCCAAGTCAACAAACTCTTATTGACACACAAAAAATGTCATGATCTATTGTCAAGTGAGGAAATACAGCAGCCAAAACAACAGGTACAGTATGATCCTACTTTCTGAATATAAAATAAACATATGTGTATATACATATATAAAATAATATTTATAATATATTAAATATGTAGTGTACTATATATGTGTAGTATATACATGTTATATATACATATAATACAATGTTTAATATATATTACATACACATATGCACATATATAACATATACTTAATATTTAATGTATAATTGTATATTAAGTACATTACAATGGGTATATAAAATAATATATAACATATGTAATATATATGTACTATGCATACACAGAGACTATAAAGAAATGCTCCAAAATGTTAGCAGCTGCATCTCTGGGTTATTATAGGTGAGAATGATTTTCTCATTTCTGTGCACTTGTATCTTACAATTTTTCTATAAGCTTGAACTACCTATATGATAATTAGTTACAAATCTCATGAAAATCAGATACTTGCCAACAATAAAGATATGTGGGACATACACAGTATCAACCATTTCATTGAATGCGTTTTGAATATAAATAATCTATAAATGATATATAGTGTATATGCTAGGTATTCTGCAAAGCACTTCCTACACATTCTTTCACCTAATCTTCATGACAATCGCAATAATATCCGCATGTTATAGATGAGGACCTTGGGAGCTGAGGAGGAAGCAGCTCTCCCAAGTTACTAGATAACATTCCCTGTAAGTTCCCTCTTTCCCCAATTTCCTGACGATTAGAATTATCGGACGATGTCTGTTTAAATATCAACCTTTCAGGTCCATCCCCTATAAATTCTGACACAGTAAATCAAGAAAAGCCCAGGAATCTGTAAAAACACAAGCACCCCAAAAATACTGAGAATCATCCCTCCACTCTCTGAATTGTGTAAGGAAAGCAGTTTATTTCTCAGACAAGCTTAAGCATCCAGATCCTTGGGCAACAGAGTCAGGGCAGAAACCCGTTCTGGAAGCCAGGGTGTGGCACCCTCCCGTGCACAGCGGACATTTACCAAGCCGCTCCCAGGGCAGAGACCTCGTCCAGGCCTGCAAGTTCAGAGAGCAGTCTGCCCGGTCCAGGCCCGAAGGAGCTCCCAGTGGGGCCCACGAGACAGATGTGCAAACACGAATCACGAGGCTGAAGGACGGGAGCCAGAACAGAAGGGCAGCCAGGGTTCAGCACGGGCACCACGGGTGCAAATGAAGAGAACAGCCTCGCGCGGAGCCATGTCCCTTGACCACAGGATGACAGTGATGTGAGTTCTATGTTTATGCCAAGACAGACTCTCATTTATTCATTTAAAGTCCCTTTAGGTGCTTTCCAAATGCAAAGAACTAGGGATACAATATGAATTATGCCCCCTCTGCCCTGAGACAGGGCTATTCCAGGTGTGGCCTGAAGGCCAGGCCCCTTGGGTCAGGTACAGAAAACTGAGAGCATTTGGACATTTGGATAGCTAACTGACAGGCTAATCATGTCTGAGTTTTTTTTGGTGCCTTCCATTTTTCTAGTAAATCATTTTATCCTAATTTATACAAGTATTGGCTACAATGCA